ACGACGAAGTAGTCGAGGAAGCTGAGATCGAGGAAACTAAGGTCGAAGGTGAGGTGCAAGATGTTTGGGCGATCAAGCAACAACAATTCAAGAAACGCGGGTTGGTTAGAGAAACCGACCGTGTACTAAGTAAGTCCGACAAAGAAGAAGGCAGGATCGATGAAAAGTGTAAGGAGCCTATCTTCCCACTTGAATTCTCAAAATATTTTAAGGATGTAAGGCCCATCGAGAACGAGAATGAGTCGACAGATTATGAAGGACCGCCTATTTTCGATGTGTACCCTGATGAACACTTTGTTGAGGTCGAAAGAATTTTGGGCGAGTCCAATGAAGCCGAAGTGATTGGAGTAAAGGAGGAGATTTGGCTTGAGAATGAAGAAGGTGTGCTGGAGATTTCAGTGGTTGAGAAAGAAATTGCACACGTAGTGTACGAGGTGAGAACGCCCCAATTAATGGTCGATGACAAGTCCTTGAGGACAAGGACATTCTTAAAGGGGGCGGGAATGATACGGAAGTGGGTTTTGACCCCCGATGATGAGAAAGGCCGAGGGACGAAGCTAATGGACAAGGCCAAGCAAAGGTCGCAAACAAGGCTTGCATGGCCTAGGAGACGTGCAAGAACACGTATACGAGGGTGTCGACGTGCACTATGGCATAGGAGGTCGAGCAAGAAGCTCAAGAGAGCGAGGCTTGAAGGCTCGGGTGACGCGGTCGACTGGTGCAAGGCGTGCACGAGGAAGCAACGCGAACGACGCTTGGGGGCTAAGACCTTGGGCGTTCACTTGACGGAGGAGACGAGCGGTGCGCGAGGGGAGGAGGTTGGGTGGACAGCGCGCACTTGGGATGGCCGTGAGAAAGCGAACGTGCAAGTGGTAACATGCGCAAGAGCGTACAAGAAGATGGTCCCGGGACGGGCAATAATCGAGCGCAAGGAAGGGCGCAAACACGCGCATTGGCGTAGACGTGCACGGGCGGGACCACGCCTCGGAAGGAAGTGCTATCGGAGGTTTTTGGATGGCTATCAAAGTATTAGAACCTGGTGGGGATGGCTAAGGAACCAGGTGGCT